TGCTTGGCTGAGTGACATGTTAGCTGTGTAATAACAACGTTAGGTTGGGTTACAAGGTCAGTCTCTCTGCTCTGCTTGGCTGAGTGACATGTTAGCTGTGTAATAACAATGTTAGGTTGGGTTACAAGGTCAGTGTGTCTACTCTGCTTGGCTGAGTGACATGTTAGCTGTGTAATAACAATGTTAGGTTGGGTTACAAGGTCAGTCTCTACTCTGCTTGGCTAAGTGACATGTTAGCTGTGTAATAACAACGTTAGGTTGGGTTACAAGGTCAGTGTCTCTGTTCTACTTGGCTGAGTGGCATGTTAGCTGTGTAATAACAATGTTAGGTTGGGTTATAAAGTTTTGGTCAGTGTCTCTATTCTACTTGGCTGAGTGGCATGTTAGCTGTGTAATAACAACGTTAGGTTGGGTTACAAGGTCAGTCTCTACTCTGCTTGGCTGAGTGACAAGTTAGCTGTAAAATAACAACGTTAGGTTGGGTTACAAGGACAGAGTCTCTGCTCTGCTTGGCTGAGTGGCAGTGATTTTACAAATTATGACCGTATCGGCTCATCATTACTGCCTTTCTCACAGAGCCATGTTAAAGCAGTGGCTGTATGTTATTTGTAATACCGGAATTTTTCAGCCAATTAAAATCATTTAACTGTTTATAATCACTTCTTTGGTGTTTTCTTAGTTTATCTGAACAAATGCAACTATCAACTGAAGAAAATAACTCACATCGTTGATTCTGTCGTGCCTCCAATAGTAATATATATACATAATTAGGTTTCTACAGTTTTGTAAAATTTATTAACACAATAATTTTAATTGTGTACCATTATCACTGTTGATCATGAAGACCTCAACTTATTTTCAATCATAAAATAAAGGAGGCACTTTAGTCTGGTGGTAGGACGCCAAGCTCGTGACCCAATGGTTGCAGATTCGATTCAAGGCACGACACTGTGTTGTATCTTTGAGTAAGAAACTTTACTACGCTTGTTCCAGGCTACTCAGCTGTAAATGAGTATGTAGTTGGGTAGTGTTAGAATTGTTGAATGTTAATATTTGGGCGTTATTTTACTGTCATTTTGTGAAAATAATTACATGTTAATCTGTTAATGTTTGAGTGCTTGTTTTCATTACTGTTTTTGATGTAATTTAGGACATATTAATCTGTTTAAGATCTAATAATACTTGAATATTTGTTGATGCCATACATTAAAATAAACCACATCATGAATAATATTTTCTATAAAAGAGACTTTTTTCTGCATTATACCATATATAATAACATTGTATTCATCCTCACTGAATTGTTTATATCAAGTGACTTCAGGGTGTGCTAATTTTATGTTGAACTTGCCTTTACAAAATGTCTGTTGGCTTATGCGAAGTGTGGCATCCGTCCATCGTTCGCCCAGCATCAACACCTTAATTCCTATTAAACATTGAGTCTTGATACTTTGTTGCTTTAACTTTGACCCATTTTTAAGGTCATGGGTAAAATATGCTGAAGTCTTTAAATCATTTCTCCTAAAGATCCTTCAGGCCTAGAGGACCAATCTTTGGCTGGTAGCTTAAGGATGTCAAGCTGATTAAATTGTTTATTCAGAAAGAGAGGGATCACTTAAAATGTGTAACAATGGTTATTTTTGATATTTGTAATTAAACACTGGGTACAGCAATTTGTCACAAATGACTCAGTCAAACTTAGTATGTTTATTTCTTATTTTGGTGGCAGTAAATTGACACTGTAGAGGGTTATTTGTTACACACAAATTAGTTACACTGTAGGGTTATTTGTTACACATAGATAAGTGACATTGTAGGGTTATTTGTTACACACAGATTAGTTACACTGTGCGGTTATTTGTTACACACATATTAGTTACACTGTAGGGTTATTTGTTACACATAGATAAGTGACATTGTAGGGTTATTTGTTACACACAGATTAGTTACACTGTCTGGTTATTTGTTACACACAGATTAGTTACACTGTAGGGTTATTTGTTACACACAGGTTAGTTACACTGTAGGGTTATTTAGTACACATAGATTAGTTACACTGTAGAATTATTTAGTACACATAGATAAGTTATACTGTAGGGTTATTTAGTACACATAGATTAGTTACACTGTAGGGTTATTTGGTACACATAGATTAGTTAAATTGTAGGGTTATTTAGTACACATAGATTAGTTACACTGTATGGTTATTTGGTACACATAGATAAGTTAAATTGTAGGGTTATTTGTTACACCCAGATTAGTTACACTGTAGGGTTATTTGGTACACATAGATAAGTTAAATTGTAGGGTTATTTGTTACACAAAGATTAGTTACAATGTAGAGGGTTATTTGGTACACACATATTTGTTACACACATTTTAGTTACACTATAGAGGATTAATTAGTACCAGGGATGTGTAGTGGACACTACACATTCCTGTTAATACACACAGATTAGTTACACTGTAGAGTTATTTGTTACACACAGATAAGTTACAATGTATGGTTAATTTTTACACATATTAGTTACACAGTAGGCTTATTTGTTACACACAGATACATTACCCTGTGGGTTATTTGGTACACATAAATAAGTTACATTGTAGGGTTATTTAGTACACACAAGCAAGTTACATTGTAGTGTTATTTGGTGCACACAGATAAGTTGCACTATAGAGGGTTATTTGGTACACACAGATACATGTAAGTTACATTGTAGGGTTATTTGTTACACATAGATAAGTTACATTGTAGGGTTATTTGGTATACACATATTAGTTACACTGTAGGTTATTTGTTAGATGTGAATTAGTCACACTGTCAGGTAACTTTTGTGTAAATGATATATGTATTATGATGTATGTAGGCTAGGACCTTGTCAACTAGTCTAAACATTTGATTTTTGTCTTTGTTTCTTAAAAAAACATCATTACTTTTTTTGTTATATTGATTACATTCCTATTCTTACCCTCAGTGTTCTATAGATACAAAATACTTCAGGAAGATCGTCACTATTTTCATACAGCATTATTTTCCATGTTTTCTTTGATGAGAATCATTTAAAAATGACTAAATAACTGTACCATTTTAACAGTGTGAGCTATATTGTAATACACAACATCCCATCCCAATGGATTGTAAGCATTCTACGGTTCAGATCAGCTGGTCTTTTCTACAAAAACAGTTTGTAAACCAATATTTTCCTGTACCTTGACATGTATTGTGAATATATATAAGGAAAACAGCCCTTGTTTGCCTTTAGTTCCTGAAATGAACCACGTAAAGAATGTGGTAAATTTCATTTTTTACAAAGGTTTTTTATTAAATAGTGTAGCTAATACAAATTCAAAAGTAATTGGGCGACGGGCGT